AATATAATAAAATTAACAATATTATACATATTTAAATATATTTCAAATATGTTATAGATTTTAAGATATGTATATTATAAATCTTTTTTGAATGGACTGTAAAATCATTAAATATACATATAAATGAAAAGAATGTGTGGACAACAACATTTAATATTATATACTTCATAGGTCTCAAATGATATCAGTAGAAGATTATGATTTCATAATTGCTTTTGACACAAGTGATCCTAATGCCCGAGATGCTGAACTCAAAGAGCATCCATATCAAGCTGCTAAAACTTTTCTTAACTTGCTTAGTCATGTTTCAAGAGATCAGACTATTCAATACATTCTTATAATGATTGATGATATGCTTCAGGTATATTAAATGATATAAATCAAAGTAATGTATAATTAGTGTTTATGAATTTTTTTTAAATGTAGGAAGACTGTAGCCGCGTAGAACTCTTCAGAGAACATTCGAGTCGTAAACATGAATCACTGTGGGGTCCTTTCCTGAACTTATTAAATAGACAAGATGGATTTATAATGAATATGACCTCTCGAATTATTGCCAAACTTGCTTGTTGGAGTCATGATTTGATGGAAAAAACAGATCTTCAATTTTATTTAACATGGCTTAAGGATCAGTTAAAACTCAGTGTAAGTTTGTAGATATATTATTATTTAGTTACATGATTTAAGAATGTCTAAAATATTTAAAATGTACTTGGTATTTATTCTTCACAACTATGAACATATTGTCATCATAATATTAACCCAATTTTTTTTGTGCTTTTTATTTGTTGCTTAGCTTCTACTTTTATAATTATGTGTGTGCACAATAAGGGTGATGGTTCTCATTATATATGTCATAAAATCTTCTAAATTGTAATATATCTCATAACATAATCCATTAATTAATATCAAATATGTACATTTTTGTAAAGTTGTACATTCTTACATTTCATTTATAATTTTTTATATAACTTTCACATATGTGAATCCGCAAAAATGTGAATAAACGATCAAAGATTAAACATAACTAACCATAAACCAAAAACATAGACATTGTAACTTATACAATAAATTGATGTTGCTTTCTGCCAAGTAAAGATAACAGACATTTTTCAATTATAATTATTTAAACACATAAACAAGTCACACGGGATTTTAGTTTGAGGCTCTTCAGGACACAAGTTTGCATGCGGGAATAGATCAAGGCAACGGTATGGACAAGGAGGCAAATGAGCTACGTGAACTACAAAATCCGGTTGGTTTCATAATAACTAAATATTAACACAAAGTGATCATGCAACTGATGTTCTTGCTCTGTTGTTATATATAAAACGAAATATAATTTCGATTAGAATAAAATTTAATACAAATATAAATGAGAACAGTTTAAAATAAATCATTTTTGTTTTTTTACAGGTGAATATTTCTTATTTTATTCTCTTTGTGCACACACATAGTTTGAATCTCTTATCTTGTTGATTAATTATATTTTTAAAATATTACATATTTTTTCATGTTTATTTAGAATAATGAATACATTCAATCCGTGGCTCGTTGTTTACAAATGATGCTTCGCATAGACGAATACCGTTTTGCGTTTGTGTCGGTTGATGGAATTTCCACTTTATTAAGTGTTTTGACAGGCAGAGTAAATTTCCAAGTGCAATATCAACTTATATTCTGCATATGGGTACTTACTTTCAATCCATTACTCGCAGAAAAAATGAACAAGTATGTATTTTATCCAAGTATGCATTTTTATTCAATTTGTAAAAAGTTGTGTTAATATCACATTACATTTTCGTTATAGATTCAGTGTTATTCCTATCTTAGCTGACATATTAAGTGATTCTGTTAAGGAAAAAGTAACTCGTATTATTCTAGCGGTATTCAGGGTAAGTTACCATATGTGTGCTATTGTTTAATATATATTCTAATTTGATTACTCTACTTACTTTTAATATTTCATAGAACCTTATTGAGAAAGTAGAGGATGGGCAAGTTGCCAAAGAACATTGTATTGCCATGGTACAATGCAAAGTGTTAAAACAACTCTCAATTCTTGGACAACGTAAATTTGATGACGAAGACATCACCAATGATATTGACTTTTTGAACGATAAATTGCAAGCGTCTGTTCAAGATTTAAGTTCCTTCGACGAATATTCGACTGAAGTAAAGTCTGGGCGTCTCGAATGGTCTCCGGTTCACAAATCCGGCAAATTCTGGCGAGAAAATGCTAGTCGACTTAATGAAAAGAATTACGAGTTGTTACGTATTCTGGTACATTTGTTGGAAACTAGCAAGGACCCTTTGGTTCTCAGCGTAGCCAGTTTCGATGTAGGCGAATACGTAAGACATTATCCACGTGGCAAACAGTATGTTCAATAAAACTTCTTTGTTTGCATGTTTAAAAATAATTAATTGTAGAAGTCACTGTTAAAATTATTACAGTATAATTGAACAACTTGGAGGTAAACAACGAGTGATGCAACTTTTAGGACACGAAGATCCTAATGTAAGATACGAAGCTCTTCTTGCAGTTCAGAAGCTTATGGTGCACAATTGGTATGTAATTGAAACATGTATAAATGCAAAAAAAATTTGTACAATCGAAAAAAGTACTAGTTACCGTTGAATCATAATGCTTCTTAATACGAGATTTTTGGTGTTTAATCTGCAGGGAGTATTTAGGAAAGCAGCTAGAGAAAGAACAAACTGGAACATCAGGTGCATCAGGAATGAAACCAGGTACACAAGTCCCAGCAAAAGCTTAAATAAGAGTACAAGCATCGTAATTGTAAGTTTTTTCGCTTAAAATCTGTACATTTTGTCTTCTTTTCATGTATTACCCTTTATGTACTTTTATTGCGTGTAAAAATCTGTATAAAAAATACGTTCTTCACATTGAAATTATATTACAGAAATTACATTCCTTCGTATTCTGATGTAGCTATGTG